TTATTATTGCGTTGTCTAGTTTACATGTAATTGATGCCTGATTGTATGCTTGATTCCCTGCGCATGTTCTAACAATTGGTATCAGACGCCGTCTTACATCTAACTAGATAATGTAATACAGCATACATAGAAAAAAATTAAAATGTGTTATTCAATGATACATGTTTCGGATAATTATTCTATGTTAAAAACATGAATATTTTATATGATATTCTGTAATTTTGGATTAATATACAGATTTTTTGGATTAATCCTGTCAAAACACGTTTTCTGAAATCACGTCTTGTATCGCCGCGGTCCGGGCGTAACCGCGGTAGGACCGCAGTAGAACACTGCCTCTGATTCTTAAGGTCACTCTAACCGCGGTCCTGGCGTAACCTTGGTAGGACCGCGGCAGTACATGCCACCTTCAGTGCCAAAAAATTGCAAAACACGCGATTTTAGGTCCTAAACCCTAAATTAAACGGGTTTTACAGTAATATAATGAATTTATATGTTGACATAGGTCTTCTTCCACATCGGATAAATTCATTATAGATGATTACTGTGTTCTTCTTTAGCCTCTAGTTATTTCATTACTTGTATTAACTCACCAACTGAGTTACATGTTGATTGAATGAAACTAGAGTTTTATTAAAAGTGATATTTACCTATCTTAAATTAACAGTTTACTCTCCATCTGAGTTGGTCCTGTTTAAATTTTTGGGGTTAATATCTGACATCACTCATGTATTTTGCATGAATAGTTAAGTTTCCCTAACGAATCTAACTGATCACTGAGCATGGTTATATGTGTAATGTGTAATTTTGAATTTAATCATTCTTAATATATAACTAATGATCTATTTAATGTGAATATCTCCCAGATTAACCATGTCTTCATTCAACCCACTTACCTCAATTTTGAACCAAAACAAGCTAGAAGGACCAAATTATGTTGACTGGAAAAGGAACCTTGATATTGTCCTAACTGCTGAATGTTACAAATTTGTAATCTCTGAGGAGTGCCCAGAAAAACCTGAAAATGCTACGGATGATCAGGTTAAGGCCTATGACAAATGGGTTAAGGCTGATGAGATGGCGCGATGTTACATTCTTGCCTCTATGGCGAATGTTTTGCAACATCAGCATCAGTCCATGGGGTCTGCTTATGATATGCTCGAAAGTCTCAAAGAGATGTTCGGTGAGCAAAATCGCGCAGCTAAGCAAACAGCCATGAAAGCCCTTTTGAACACGAAAATGGCTGAAGGATCATCGGTCAGGGACCATGTTCTAAAGATGATGAGTCTTCTGAATGAACTGGAGGTCCTCGGAGCTGTGATTGATAAGGAGTCTCAAGTTGAGATGGTCCTGCAGACTCTGCCTGACAGCTTTCAACAGTTTCGCTTGAACTATAATATGAACAAAATGGATTTGTCACTAGTGAAATTGTTGAATGAGCTCCAAGCGGCAGAATCTATTATCAAACAACAAGCTCCAGTTGTGGCACTAAATGTTGAGAAACCTTCAATTTCTAAGTTGAAAGGCAATAAGAAAAATAAGAAGGCTCAAAAGGTTCTGGCACCTAGTGGTGCGGCTAGTGTGAACAAGCCCAAAGGCAAGTGCTATCATTGCAAGCAACCCGGGCATCACAAGAAGCAATGCCCCGCCTATCTGGCAAAGTTAAATAAGCAAGGTAATTCAAATTTAAATATCGTTAAAACTTGTTTAGCGGCTGTTTCTACCATGTTTTGGTGTGTAGATTCGGGAGCCACTAATCACATCTGCAATTCTTTGCAGGGGTTTCAGGAAACACGGCGGCTAAGTGAGAATGAAGTTTGCGTTTATCAAGCCAATGGCGAGCCAGCACCAGCTTTAGCTTTAGGAGATATCAGTGTTTCGTTTAGTAGTGATAGAGTTTTAGTTTTAAAAGATGTTCTCTATGTACCTTCCACTAGAAGGAATTTGATTTCGGTTTCGAAAATAATGGATGCTGGTTATAATGTTTATTTTGCTAATAACTCTGCTGTTATTAAGTTTCATAGAAGTTTTATCTACAAAGCTGCTAGAGTACATGACCTTTTTGTTCTTGATATATCTCCCCCTGTGCTACAACAACCAAAAGAACTAAATAACATTAATCTACCACATAAAAGAAAACGTATTTCTGAATTGAGTCAGACTTATTTATGGCACTTACGTCTAGGCCATATAAATCTAAATAGGATTTCGAGATTGGTCTCTGATGGACCTTTGAGTTCATTGAAAGTGGAATCACTACCAACATGCGAATCCTGTTTAGAAGGTAAAATGACCAAGAGACATTTTCCCTCAAAAGGGAATAGAGCCAGTGATAAGCTAGAATTAATTCACTCTGATTTGTGTGGTCCTATGAATATACAAGCAAGAGGTGGTTTTGAGTATTTTGTGACTTTCACAGATGATTACTCAAAATATGGATATATTTATCTGTTGTCATATTGAGGAGTTCAATTGCAGTTTTTTAGTGGAATAAATTACAATTAATTATAGTAGGATCTAATTCTTGCCTACTTCGAATTAGTACTATAATTAGTAGCCTCTTATTATTTCTGTGGTTCCTGCTATACCTAGTAATAACCTGGACAAACTTGGGTAAAAAGTAGCTTGGGAGAAAAGTTACCTTTTTGAGTTGGAGTAGGATTCTACTTATGGAATCCTACTCCACACGTTTTTGAGCCTATTTTTAGGGCTTAATTTCGTGTATAAAAAGGAGACAGGTTTCTCCTATTAACTACCCTAGAGTTGTATTGTTCTTGCCCACCCAAAAGCAAAAGTGTTCAAGGTTTACTAGGCATATTAGCAGAAGACTACAGCCCTGGATTCTTGCTGCTTGAAGAATTTGTGCAACTATTTCAAGAGGTTAGTGTTCCTGATCTCGTTATTATTGCGTTGTCTAGTTTACATGTAATTGATGCCTGATTGTATGCTTGCTTCCGCTGCGCATGTTCTAACACGTAGAACTTAAAGTCTCACCTAAATTATTCATCTTTTCACCTCAACTCTGTTGATTACATATAGCCAAAGCGTGCAATTTTTTGCTACCTAATTTTAATGATTTTCCCCATGGGAATAGCAATGTTAAAGTGTCCATATTCAGAGTGAATGAAAATTTAATAACAAGCAGCCTCAAATGATGCAGTACAAAATATAGTAATTTTGAAGATTATAAGAAGCAACACTTTTGTCTATAGTTTTCAAGGAATTCCATCAGTTGATAAGAAGCTATATATGAACATATCTCTAATTTCACCTTTGTTGAAACCATACTTCCTGAGAAAGCCCTCTTTCTTGAAACCAACCTTTTGTAGCACCCTTTGAGATCCTACATTTTCAGGCTCCACCAAGGCTTCTAGCCTCACCAAATAGGGAAAATCTTTGAACACAATAGGGATAGCCATCTTTATTGCCATAGTAACAATTCCTTGTCCCCAATAATCAGAACCAATGGCATAGCCAATGCGAGCTTTGTGCCTTTCACTCCCGAATTCTGGCCTATCTGATATGTAACCTATGGAACGGTCATCTAAGCAAATGGACCGACGCCATGGATGTGGAATAGCAACTTCTTGGATATATTTTGATGCTGCTTCAATGGAGGTGATTTTGTGCCATCTTAGATGAGAGGTTACTTAATCGTCGCTAGCCCATATCAAGAGGTCATCAGCATCAGAAAGTTTGAATGGCCTGAGTGATATTCTTGAGGAATCCATTTCTACTTCTAGCTTATGATGTCCTTTGTTGACGGTGTTATTGGATTTGTAAGTCTTAGTTGAGTGAGTGTTGGACCATATCAGAAGGCATGTTATCCTGTGGAAAAGTATGAGCCACCACTCTTTTGTAAATGTCAATAATGTGAAAATGTGGAAAACTACAAATATGGCTGCATGGTTTATTGGAAACCAGATCTTGACTAAAATTTCCATGCTGGAATTTAGAATATGGATTAATTATATAGAATATGTTTTTAGACTAGAATATGGCTGGATTTTAGAAAATAGCGTTTTTCCCTTTTTAACTTTGTAAATAAGCTAAAAGTAGAGAACGTGATGACACGAGAAGCACTATATCTTACTTTGTATGCTTTTCTTTTCTTGCACTAAAGCTCATAGGGATTTGTTGCTTTTCCTAATGGCTTAGCTTTTGTCTTTAGTGTTCACAATTTTCAGTTCGACAAATCAAGTAGAGAGAGCGCTCATATTTTATGCTTTAGACTATGTGGAAATTTGAACATGTTGTGTGTTACTTCTGATACCACTTGAAAGAAAGAAGAGAAAAAAGGCTCTAAAAAAGTTACCCTCCTAGCTTTTGAAGGGGGCTGTGTAAAGATTTACTAAAACTATTTGAAGAACATATAAGTTTAAATACTTTAAAACATCATGAAATTATTGGTATGTAATTGATATTGAACTGAAAATAACCTCACACTTCATTTAGTACACTTAGGATGAATTTTCCAAGAAAAGTTGGAAAGTAGTCAAGTGAGGCGGCTGCAGGAAGTTTTGGTCTTTTTTTTTGGTCCGCACATGACCCATGATAGCTCCATTCCTTGGTCATCAAGTCATAAAAAGAGTAAATACACGGTTTCAAGACCAAATTAAGGAGGATCCTTAGTTGACTCTATTAATTTACGCGTTCAATTTAATAGTCTGTTTGGCCAAGCTTCTTTTGAGGCAAAAGTACTTTTTTTTGGTCAAAAGTGTTATTTTTTTAAAATTTGTGTTTGGCCAAACTTTTGAAAGGAAAAAATGTGCTTTTGGGAGAAGCAGAAGCAGTTTTGGAGAATCAGAAAAAAGTAGCTTCTTTCCAAAAGCACTTTTAAAAAAACTACACATAGAAGCGGTTTTTTAAAACATGGCAAACACTAATTGTTGTCCAGAACTAAAAAACACTTTTGAGAAAAAACGCTTCTCAAAATAATTAAGCTGATTTTTGCCTTGACCAAACGGGCTATAAGTCCAAGAGGAATGTTATAAAAGGCCATGATGTTTCAATAATCTAAAACTAAACATTCTATAACATTTGTAAACAAGAAACTTGGGCGCTTTTTTGCTTCAGAAAAATTTCATTTTGCGGATATGGAATGTGATTCATCCTGTGATCTTACTCATCTTAGTGAAGAGTTGACAGTGAAAATAGAAGAGAAATTGAAGTTGAGTCACAAAGAAGATGGTAATTCAGATATTACTCTCCGTCCATTGGACCTCACCGATGTTGATGATTTTATGGAATGGTTTGCGGATGATAACGTTAGTAAGTTCTGTTCTTGGGACACTTTCACATCCAAAGAAGATGCCATGAATTATGTCACTGATGTTGCCATACCACATCCATGGTTTCAGGCAATTTGTTTAAATGGAAAACCAGTTGGTTCTATTTCTGTATCTCCATTTCATGGAACTGATAGGTGCAGGGGTGAACTTGGATATGTGTTAGCATCAAAATATTGGGGCAAAGGTATTGCCACAAAGGCGGTGAAGATGGCGGCCGCCGCTATATTCATCGAGTGGCCACATTTGGAGAGGCTTGAAGCTGTGGTGGATGTTGAAAATCCAGGATCACAGAGGGTGTTGGAAAAGGCTGGTTTTACAAAGGAAGGTGTTTTGAGAAAGTATTATCTTCTTAAGGGGAGACCAAGAGATATTGTTATGTTTAGTCTTTTATCCACTGATCCTCAAGTCAACTACTTTATGTAATAGGTTGGAAAATCTTTACTTAATTGGTGTCACCAAAAGGTCATCAGCATCAGAAAGTTTGAATGGCCTGAGAAATATGAGCCACTACTCTGTAAAAAACTTTGATTGTTTATATTTTAAAAGGGACATGTAAAAAAGATGAATCCACTTGATATAATAATGAATCAAGCTTAGCGGTCAAGAGGGCCAATTTCGAAGAGAAGATTGTTCGGATCGAAATTATATGGTGCATGCGTAAGCTAATAGTTCTAAATCTTGAATGACGATAAATCAGACACAAAAAAAAATATACTAAACTAGGCATAACAATTTATTATGATTTGGTCAATCGACCTATATATATATATATATATATGATCTACCACTAATATAAAAAGAGAATAAATTTTTGAGAATAATCTCCCCAAAATATGATTCTAGTAAAGACTACATTTGTGGAGGTTGTTTTGTTGTTATTGTGAGAAGAAAACATCAATTTATAGAAGTACAAATTTCTCCTCCAAGAAAAGCGTAAGGCACATGAAAGATATTTATTGCTTTTTAGCCCTTTAGGAGTCTTTTTCCCTTTGTTCAAGGATGCTAATAAATTAAAAATTCAGGCAAAAATCCTTTGTGTACTTTTAATTTTCAGAAGTGTCGCAGGGAAATACTTATGTGCACTGGCTATTTATACCAAATAATTCAACTTACCATAATTAATTGATTTAATAAAGTAAAAATAATTAATGATCACAATTAAGTGGTAGAACTCTATCTGCATATAGGACAGTTCCTCGGCAAGGGTCAAGGAGCAGCTGACCTCTCTTTTTGACACCATGATGACCGTGAGTGTACTGTGTCGGGTTATTAGCTTCATTTCATTTATCATTTATGCTTAATCAGTTCGATTTATTATTTGAGTCGTAACAATTTATGTTATATTGCTTCTAGGTTATTAACTTTTATAAGTTATTCTTCGTTTCAATTTTTGTAATGATGTTATTGATTGGATATGTATTTTAAGAGATTAATGAACGAAGACTTTTAAAATTGATGATCTAAACAAAATATAAATTTTAGAGAAGAGTCAAAATTGTCCCTAACCTATTCGCTTTGGTTTAAAAATATCATTTGTCCGCATATTTTGATAAAACTGCCCCTACCATAAATAATGTGGCACATATATGCCCTTATCTCTAACAGGCCTTCTGGAAATACAAAAATATTTTATTAAATATGACGTGGCCATTTTTTATTTGCCATTAATTAAAACCCACCACAATTCATATTTCATCCCCACCCATGACCCATGTTTACCGACCCGACCCATCAGAAACCCTTTTAGCCCCTCAAAACACCTAATTCCTGTTCATTCTAAATCCACATTCAATCCAAATCCTTTTGTCCTAAATATGAAACATATCCTGCAGCTATTTTTTTTCAAATGTTTCATTTTGTACATTTAATTTTATCTTCTTAAAGCACTCCATCTCACCGTCCTTCAATCAAATTCAGATTACAAAGTTATTCCTTACAGATGTAAAGGAACTTTAAGGAATGAGATTCTAGATTAATAAAATATTGTTGGATCTTTGTTTTGGTGAAAGACTTGAAGGCATTAGGTCTGGGAAGAGTATTTTCGTCAAGCAGAAGAGTAAAAATTGAAAGTAGTACGCATCCCATATTAAGAACACATCATAGAAACACAGCACTTCAATATCATTGGAGAAAAATCAAGACGCTTGAAAGAGAATATAGCCTCACTACACATAGATCAAAGGAAACCATTGTATGCCCCACATGATTTTATCGAAGCTAAATGTTTTAGGTTTAAATTCTAACCAAATACACCATGAACGTACAAGAAAGAACCACTTGATAGAATGTTCCATTTCTGTGTTCGATCAAGATCCCACACTATAAAAAAAAAAAAAGGTAAATTGCGGAAGTTTATTTGCGGAGGGTATAAGTAACCTCCGGAATTTACTTAATTTTGCGGTAATTTATTATCCCCATAAAATTATACAATTTACAGGGGTTATGAATTTCCGCAACCTTAAAATAATAGCGCGTAATTTATTTTGCACTCCCTCCTTTTTTCCCCAACTTTTTCAATCTAGAAACTTACGTCTTTCACAGATACTTCATAGACTCTCTCTGTCGGAACTCTTTGAATTGAAATTCTCTCTGCAATATTTAGGGATTGTGCAAGCGTGAAGAAAGAGGAAGTTCTATTCATCAAAGAAATCTTACAAGTTTCACAGTGGAAAGAATCAAATAATAGCCAAACAAACCACTTACTATCAAACACAAAGGTTATTCCCGGTTCTTCCTATTTATATCTTGGTTTTGGATTCATTATTAATTTATGTTAGATGCTTTTGGATTTAGCCACTAAATCCTCTCGCTTACCATTTTACCCATTTGATGAAACCTAGCAATTTGTTACTCTCACACTCAACAAGTAACAGAAAGATGAACTTTTAGCTGATGAAAAAAAGAAGAGAAGAAGAGAAGAAGAAGGAAGAAAGAAGAGAGAATTAGGAGAGGAAATTTAGATAGATTTCATTCATAGCTAATCATTGGAATACAGGGAATATATAACAACTACTCTGCCATTTCTGTTGCCTAGGGATCCGTAAATACTGCCAACTGGCAGTGTAGGACAGCAATCCTGTAACTCACTAATAGGACTAAAAAGGATTGGAATTTAAATTACATAGGACTAAATTGGTATAATTAAAACTATGGGACTAATATGACAACTATTATCAACTATATTAACTACCAACAATGTAACAAACCATGCCCCTTATAGAACCTTGTCCTCAAAGTTCGAAATTTAGAAACTGGGATTTGATGAAGCCATAATCTTCCCAAGTAGCCTTTTCCGGAAGTAAGTTGGACCATTGTATCAAAACTTGTGTCACTGCTTTATTCCCTCACTTGACCATTCTCCTTCCTAACACAGCAACTGGTTCAGTCATAGGAGCTCAATCAGGTGAGCACACAGGAGGATCAACACATGCAACTATATTAGTGTCTATCTTCTTCTTGAGATGTGAAACATGAAAAATTGGATGAATTTTTGCTGATGGAGGAAGTTGTAACTCATAAGCAGCATTGCCAATCCTTTTGAGGACTTGATAAGGACCATAGAACTTAGAAGAAAGCTTAAGGCTTTTCCGGATAGCAACAGAGGACTGCCTATAAGGCTGTAGCTTAAGATAGACCCAATCCCCTACTAAAAATTCTCGATCAGTCTTGTGCTTATCTGCTTGTTGTTTCATCCTATTCTGAGCTTTTCTGAGGCTTTCCTGCAGTACCTTAGCCATCACTTGCCTTTCCTTTAACCACTAATCTATAGAATCCACTTTACCTTGAGCCACTAATTCAAATGTCAGCTGAGGAGGTTCATAACCATAGATAACCTGGAATGGAGTCATTTGTAATGCATGATGGAATGAGGTGTTGTACCAGAATTCAGCTAGGGAAAGCCATTGGTTCCATGCCTTTGGTTTATGACTTGTTATGCATCTGAGATATGTTTCTAAGCACCTGTTTAACCTCTCTGATTGACCATCTGTTTGAGGATGGTAAGCTGAACTCATGTGCAGCTCAACCTTCAATAACATGAAAAGTTCCCTCCAAAACAGGCTGGTGAACATTTATCTCTGTCAGATACTATGCTTTGAGGAAGGCCATGTAACTTATACACTTGATCTAGGAAAGCCTTTGCAACTTGAGCTGCATTGAAAGGATGAAGAAGTGGAATGAAATGTGCATACTTACTGAACCTATCAATCACCACTAGGATAGTGTCTTTCCCTTCTGATTTTGGAAGTCCTTCAATAAAATCCGTAGAAATGTGCTTCCAAGAATGTTCTAGAATGGGCAAGGGTTGCAGCAATCCCGGGGGTGCAATGTTTTCAGTTTTGTTTCTTTGGCAAACATCACATTCTTGGATGACCTTCTGAATGTCTGTTTGCATAGATGGACAATAGAAAAGTGACCTCAACCTTCTGTAAGTGGCTAACACTCCAGAATGACCTCCTAGTGCTGAGGAATGGTTTTAACCAACTGTTGTCTCATATTCCCATGACTTCCTATCCATAACTTGCCCAAATGTCTTAGTAGCCCATTCACCACTTGGTTTGTAGCACTTTCATTGGGATTATGATTAAGGTCAGAAATGAGTTGAGTTGCTTCCTCATCTCCCTGATAACTTTCCAACACTTCTTGATCCCAAGTTGGTCTGATGCTGGTGATAGCATTACAATGTCCTGGGATTTTCCTTGATAAGGCATCAACTGCTGAATTCTCACTCCCTTTCCTATACTGAATATCAAAGTTTAGCCCCAGTAACTTAGTTAACCCTTTATGTTGTAGCACAGTAGAGATTCTCTGATCCTTTAGGAATTTGAGGCTGAAATGGTCAGTCTTGACTATGAAAAAATTCTGCTGCAAGTAATGCCTCCACTTGTCCACAGCTAGTGTTAAGGCCAGTAATTCCTTCTCATAAGTTGATAGTCCTTGATGTTTAGGATTAAGAGCCTGACTCAGGTAAGTTATGGGATGATGCTCTTGCATGAGTATGGCTCCAATACCTGAGCCACTAGCATCAACTTCTACAGTGAAGGGCTTAGAGAAATCAGGTAAGGCCAATACAGGATCCTTAACCATTGCCTCTTTAAGCTTTTCAAATGCAGTTGTAGCTTCTTCAGTCCATGTAAAGTTTCCTTTCTTAAGCAGTAAAGTTAATGGCTTACTAATGACTCCATAACCCAATATAAATCTCCTATAGTATCCAGTGAGTCCAAGGAACCCCCTTAATTCCTTAATGTTTGTTGGTGTAGGCTATTGCAGCATTGTCTGAATCTTAGCAGGGTCGGTTTGTACACCATTCCCTGAAACAATGTGGCCAAGGTAGTCCACCTGGGGTTGAGCAAAGGAGCATTTTGATCTCTTAGCATACAGTTGGTTGTGTCTCAACAATTAAAGCACCTTTTCCAAATGCCTCAAGTGACTGCTCAAGTCTGGACTGTAGACTAAGATATCATCAAAAAACACTAAGATGAACTTTCTGTGATGCTCTCCAAATACCTGATGCATCAATTCCTGAAATGTAGCAGGTGCATTAGTCAACCCAAATGGCATGACTTTGAATTACCATAGCCCGTGATGTGTTCTAAAAGCAGTCTTGAACTCATCAGATTCCTTCAT